GATGTTCATTATGTTCAAGAGCATTTCGCGGACCAAACTGCTGCATTGCCTTATTTAGACAAAAATACACAGATGAGGTAACCTGAACTAAGGCTTCACATTCAGAGATGTCTGAATTTGTCAGTAACAAAGCACAGAGGAAATAGACACTTCCAGACAAACAGAAATTATTAGTAACAGAACTCACTGGGAACTCATTTTCGGGAAGATGGGAAGCTGTAGCTCAGATTCCTTCTTCCCTTTCCCACTGCAGACAGATCATTTTTTGCAAAGTGAGGAGGCTCCTTCTCACATAGGCATGGATTACCACTGAGTTTTGATGAAGTCAACCAGAATAATCTTCATTTTATGAAAATAAATACAAGCCTGGCAGGTAGTTGGACTTTCCAGAGCCCTGAAGTGACCATCACCCGTTGGAAAAGCTGCTGCCCAGAACATAGCCTTAGAGCTGCCACATGGAGCCAGCCGCTACACGCTGACATTTTAGAAAGGACCTAGGAGCTGTCAATGAAAGCAGAGGGTAAAGAAGCTAGGAAACTATTTTAAAGACATCAGGATGCCAATAAGTAGTCTGTAAATTTGTGTAAGTGCTCTTGTACAAGGAATTTGATCACAGTTTCCTGAGCTTGTCACTCACTGTAAGAAATTATGTCAGGCAGCAGAGGGCATTGGGACTAAGAGTTAAGAGGACAGAAAAGGATGATCATGAGTCAGATGAGAAAAAAGCAGTGATCTTTCATTCTACAGCACTCTTCAGTGAGGAAAGCCTTATGGAAAGTTGGTCATGACCCATTTGGGTAAAATATGAAGTATTTTCATAGTTGCTGAACCATATTAGGCAACCACACTGCCACTGTGTGGTGGTATTTGTGCTGCTTATGTTATGCCTTGCCTTGCTTGATCCAAGTCAAGTTCCACCCTATGCTCCCCAACCTTGCTGTGCATCTTTATTCTCCTAGCTACCATGTTTCCAAAGAGGGATGAAATAGAAGACCCTTTGTTTCTCCTTTACATCCCCTCTCATTCAGTAGCATCCCTTCCTCTTCCCAGCACATTTCCAGAGCAGAGCTGCCACATGTGTGGAGTTAGTAGGAATTTCAGGATTATCAAATGAAGATATTTTAATTATACCTTCTCCCACAGAATTCCGGCTATACTCCAGCTATACAAAATCCTTCACAGCTAAATGCCATATTTGTCATCTGAATCTTGATAATTTTCAGTATTTGCAAGATGCAGTGTATCACAGTCCAGAAAATTACTACCGTGGGGAAAACATTCAGCTGAACATGAGAACATGGCTTAAAGGAAACAGGGAGTTATTAGCTCCTGTGTGCACTGTGTATTTCAGCAGTTGCTACACACAAGCTTGCACAAGTGCATTCAAATTAGTTGCCTCCACATTTCAACAAAAAGTTGATCTACGGCCAAACGCTTCACCAACAACGAAGACGTTTTGGTTAAATGCCCTTATGAGACATTAACCTTTGAAATATGCAGAACTGGAATATGCTAGAAGATTAAAGCATCCAGCACCCAGCCTACTTCTTTCCTGTTTTCCCGTTTTCCCTCCTGCCCTCATGAACCAGCATGCGCAACCCCATGCCACTGGTCCCAGCGGTGCCCCAGACATCCTCCTCACCCACTAGCCCTGGCTGATCCAAACCTGGCACAAAGGTTCATGAAAAGAGATGCAAATTAGCCAGGCCACAGGACAATAGTTTTCTGCATTTATCTTGTGTCCCCACTAGGTACACCACCTCCTCTCTCTGGTGTGTGTGGGTTTCCTTGGAAAGTTTCGGCCAGATCTCCAAAGAAGCCCCTGCAAGGCTGCCTGCTCCACTCCTGGCCAAGATCAGGGCTGGACTAACACTGTGAAGTATGCTGTGAATTTAGTGAGGCAGCAGCACCTCTCCAGCCACAGCTGCCATGCTGGGCTCCTCTTCCAAATGATTTCAAAGGATCCTCAAAGACCCATATCCTGTTGTCTCTCCTCCCAGGGAGGCCTTCAACTACACGCCAAAATCCCAACTTTACCTTTGCTTCAGATTCAGGAGCTTTTCAGAAGAATGAAGACTCCAAAAAACATGAGTCCTGTAACAACACTGGCATAACAGGGTCATGGGTGGGACTGCTATACTACTGAAGTAGAGAAGGACAAAGAAATCCAGCTACTGGCAAAAAACCCTTATATAGACATTTTCTGTGGTTTGAAGAGAACAGATGCATCTTTTATTTTTCTGGACAACTAAACTAATATTTCTTAAATTTGTGCTTTAGGCAAATGACAAGCTGCATTTGAAAACTATTTCCTACACATTAAATTCAATACCCTGAGGCTAAGAGGGTGGACTTACCAGCAACAAACAACTACACCAGGCCATTTTTAATTTGCTTCAACTTAGCCACAATCAAGAAGCAATTTCAGTATCAGGGTAGAAGAATCAAGATTGCCAGTATTTTGCTTTGCAGTTAAAATAAAAAATGCATACATTTTCTGAGATGCAATTTTTTAAATATATGACTTTCAAAAACATGGTCTTTTTCCCCCATTATAATAAAAGATAAAAAATTATTCAGCTGCTCTGTTCTGGGGAAAAATCCAAACCCACTGCTGAGGTTTCAGTATGATTTCTTTTTCTTGCTAAGCTAGCAGCAATAAATAATGAACACATCCTGACTTGAAACTTTAGCTGCCTACAACACTGAATTGAAAAGAAAAAAGGTAGTGATTGTGTGCTTCTGGATTTGTATAGCAAGCTTGTCTATGCCACTGATTGGAAAAGATGCTGTAGCACCTGTCAAATCCATAGTACTAGTTAGTTCTAGATGCACTTTATTCAGGATTATTTTATTTTTGATGTATTTTTCTTTTACACACACACATGCATACATATATATATGTATGTATAACATCATGTATTTCTTTATAGGTAAAAAATATATTTGTTTTATACATATGTAAAATATATTATCAGAGAACCTGATTAAAACTCAGTGCAGGCCTATACCTGTCTCAGTGTATCTTAAGATCCTGCATGGAGTGCTCTCTGCATTTATCTCTAAGACTTACTTGAAGCTCCTCTGTCTTCACAGCCCATTGCTGTTCCTGTCGTGATTCAGCTACCGCTTCTGACATCTGATCAGCCAGCAGATCTGTTTCAACATGTCCTTTCTGGATTCTTGGGACAAAACTGATCTCACCTAACTTTAGATGTTTGGAGCAGGGAGATTTATGTTGATGGCTGCCAGCTCCTGCTACAGTCACTGAGGAGCTCCAGACCCTTCCAGAGACCCACTCCTCTGACTGACCGCACACCATTGCCCTCCATGGACAGGGCAGAGAGCCCAAGGTGACCCAGTTCAGATGCAAACATCCAAATTGGTGACAAAAAATCCACTGTGTCAGATCTTTATTAACCCCCTTCTATCAGTATACTCAAGATTACAAAAATGCACATTTTGACAATTTAACACTTTCTTACTCATAAATAATATAAAAACCATTAAAAAGCCCCCTATAAAAATACATCCTTTTTTGGTATGTCTGCTTGCACCAAAACAAGAATAAAATACAGACAATTTTACTGATAGCTGTAAATGTTACTGGTGATGCAAAATAGATAGCAATACCATACTCTCAAGCATTATAACATTTTCCCATGCAGAACAGAACCAAATCTAAAGTAGGCAAATTATTTCATTGCATGAAAAAATGTTTCTTTTAATAAATAAAATATTTTATATGCAGGTTTTGATGAGATGAAATTATTATAAGTATCAAGCCTTCTTTATTAAAAGCTACAAATTATTGAACAAAACTCAGAAAAACTTTCAGGAAACAAAACTGTTAAAACAGAACTCAGGTGTTTGTATTTATAAATATATATACATATACATACAAATAAAAGGACGGTAAGGAATAAAATGGCTTTCCTTTACACAAAGGAATCGAGCAGTCTCCGTGCACTACAAGCATTACTATTTAGTTACCTCATGCAACTGCTTTAGCTCCTGCACGCCCTCTTCACATTTTTGTTACCGCTTGTATTTTCCCCTGCAGGAGTTAAAAACAAACCTGCCTGTCCCGATAGCGCTTCAATAAGGAAAGGAAAGGCTTTGTTTCTTACTAAAACCCCACTTTTTTCAATACAACTGTATGCCTATGGGACTGTAAGCTTTTCAGAAATATCTTGCAATACATATCACCTTAGTATTTGTTCAATTTAAGGTCCCTTATTTTAGAATTAATCAAAACACAATTGATTCTTTTAGAAAACAGAACTGGGCAAAACATTCCCTATAATAAAGTACAGCTCGTTTAGTTGTCCCAGACAGATTTCTTCAAACACTGAAGTCTAAACTAAAGATAATTAATATATACACAGAGGATACAACACGCACATGCATGGCCAAAGCACATAAAGCACAGAAAATTAACATTTTCTGAAAATGCAATGTTTGTGAATGTATTCTGTGCATGGCTTTCCGAGATGAATTGCAAAGAAAATCTTGATATCTCTTGGCAGACAATGTTGAAATCAGCCCTTAAAGGATTTACAAGTTGACAAAAACCATAGACAGCTACCAGGTCTAACTGTATTGCATGTTACTTATTAATTAATGCTGCCCTTTTTAGCTTTGGGAAAGCTGTGTGTGATCTGAAGCAGCTACGCAGAGGCCCCAGTTTACATTCTCCCATCCTAGGCAGGTCCAAGTCAATGGAAGTTAAATAGCCTGGAGTATAAACTGCAGGACTCCGGAGCTGCTTCCTCTGGGATTCATCCTCCCTAGCTAGAGACAGACGAGGGAAAGGCAGTAATTGCTTTAGGAACTTTAGTTTAACCCATCTAGAGATGTCAGAAAAAAACCTTAGGCTAACAAGGGAAAACTTAGCATTACCTTTGCTTTCTTTGTCATGCAGTCCAAATACAACATTTTTCCCCGAGACATTATAGCAATATATTTTATGCTTTTTATGGCTGACTGGTGGTGAAATGAGCTGTAATGGGAAAGCAAAATGTTTACACAATAAACCCTTACATCATTTTGTAATCATTAACAAGCATTCTCAAAACCTTACTGCTGCTAATTAGAAACCTAATTCACTGGAACTGCTCACTCACTATATTATACAAAAGAAAAAGAATGGTCCTTCATGGACCAAGGTCCTTCACGTTCTGAAAAGGGGGATGTGATAGTAGCGGTCATCCTCGGTCAGGAGAGAAATCTCATTCCATTCCCTTCGGTACTCATCTGGATAGTTCACTTGAAATTCCTCAGTATTAAATCTATGCAGTCTGTAAACTCTTATCTTTACTTCAAGTAAGTATCCAAGAAGGAACAGTTCAACCTAAAGAAGAAAGAAGTCTGTAAGACATTTATTTCTAGATTTAGAAAAATAAACAGAAGATAATCCAAGTTAAGGCAAGTCACCTAGATTCAAAACAGTAGGCAAGGAATAAAAAGGACCCTTTTGTAAGTGAAGTAAGAAAACTAAAAAATGGAGGGTATTCTCAATCTTCCAACAGTCCTTCCACTGCTCTTTTGCATGTAGAGGATAACCTGGTTAATGCTTAACACTTTGGAAACGTCCTCTTCCCCCGATACAATACGTAACCTGCAACCAAAGCCAGCTCACACAGCTTAGTGTGGGGGGACCAGCTATTGTTAGAAGATTGATACACCTTGAAAAATGGGAAGCCTGCCACCTTGTGATCACTTTTTTCCATGAAGGAAATATTATAGTAAAATGAAATAATTTCCTTGTATTTCATGTATATGAAACTTGAGAACTGGCATCTTCATTGACACTTCTTGCAAAGGACTGTTTAATCTGGAAAAAAGCTTTGGAAAAAGCACATATCCTAGGGCATAGCCAGACAGAGCAGAACGTGTCCAGTCATAATCAAACTGCTCCTGAAGGTGACTGCAACATGTAACACTTAACTTGAAAACTGAAACTGACTGTGAAAAATAATTTCACCCACTGGAAAGTGAAACTTCTTGCAGAATGGCAGTATGGAGCTTAGATGTCAGTACTTAACTCCTCACTAAATATAAAAATGAAAAAAAATCTTAATATATAAAGGTGAACAGTTATTAGAGTTCCCATTACCTACTCTTAACAGACATTAGATCTAATGGGAACCAAAGAGAGGGGAAAAAATAGAGTGATTATAGAGGGTTTGGCATGGTGGAACAAACAGGAAAAGCAAAACAAATCAGATCTGCATAATATAAGATTATTTTACATATCAAAGGTATCATTGCTCTAAACTATGTCTCATTGATAGCTTGCAGCATTTATTTCTGGCCTAGCAAGGAAAATGTCCATCTCATTTTACTCTACTACAGTTTAGAGGTTTTTTTCCTGGAAAATAAATGCCTGTCCTCAGTCCACTTCCCCACATCCCAAAAGATCTACTATTACAGATGATGTATCATTAATCACATCAGAGATGGAATAACTTTTGAGATTTATTTTTCTTTTATATCATTACCTGGTCTAGACAAATAGAGTCACCTATGGAGTTGAGATGATTCATCATGAAACTCAAAGGGTCAGACGAAGAATCACGAGCAAGGAGAAGGCTAAAAAGGTTGTGCATGGGTTCTTCCCTGTTCTTTATCTGCTCATAGGCTTCGACAACTTCATAAAGCATGATGAACTTTATGGCCTCATACAGTTTGTGCTCCTTACTCTCATCAGAGAAGAGTGTATTGCACATGTTTCCTCTTTCTTCATGATCTTTAGTAGCACATATTTCAGCCCACTGGAAAGCACACAGAACAGTATTAATTAAACCATTAGGAAATCTATTTAATATGAAAGATTCCAGATCAGGAACAATTGCCAGTCTGTACAATGATGCTCAATGACTCAGATTCAAATTAATTTCATCTAATTCTGTGCTTGTTTCACTTGTATGTTGAAGTAGCCATAAACTGTGAATGGCAACAAAAAAAAATATAACCCATGAATACTAAATTGAGAAACAGATCTCCCATTGCCTCATGCATTCCTGAAGACTTTCCTTACAGGTTAAAAATGAGACCAGGTGTAAAAAAACACTAATACCCTTTTGCAAGTCAAAAGCCCTGTCTGAAGTCTAAAAGAGTCTGCTAGCCAACATGGCCCAGGCACAAGAGCATCTGCAGGCATCTGCAGGCAGCAGCCTACGAGATGATGATGGAGATGGGAAAGGCAGCAGAGAACCCTGCTAGTGAAAATAGGCAAAAAAACCATCTCACTGGCCAAACAGCATCTTTAGTAACAAATTACTATCAATGATAATAGGGTTTGAAACTACAGAGTTTTGGCTTGCATACATAGGGCCACATAAAAGGAACTACCTTAAATGCGTACCAGTAAAATATGATGTTGTGGTTGTGGTACAACATCCCAGAACTGTAAGGTGTACTGCAGAATTAAAAATGATGGTTTAAGATCTGATATACTGGATAATGGATGCTTTCAGAGATGGATTTCAACCTAATCTTGGCCAAAACCCTGGAGTCCAGTAAATACCAGTACCCACTTGACGACTGTGATCCAGGAGAGCATACAAAGAAAACGCCCAGCAGAAGGAAGATGGGGAGGAGAAAGCAGTGGTGTGCTGGGCAGCCAAGGAAAGACAGTATTTTGAGTAGAAAATGCACTGTTCATTTGTTCACTCCCATTTGGGGAGGGAATCCAGGAGGATCTCATATAGCATGTTGTTATTTTTAATCAAAATTATGAGGTACTGCAGGAGACACTTGATAGCAAGGGCAACTATCCACACAGTATCGGCTGTGGACAAGATGGCGCCCCTAACTTTCAGGGGGACCTTGAGGACTTAACCCGGTAGAACCCCAAAAAAAAGGATTCCCCTGCAGGAGGGGCGATGGCCTGCCCAGCATCTCAGTCCCCTGAACCTGGGACGGAAGCTGACTGCCACAGAAATATGAAACCAGAAGCAGTTCCCTAATTCGGTCTCAACCCACTTCTCGGTGCTTTTATTCCCCCCAACCACTTCTGAAATACTCACATTGGTCTTTAATGCTTCCATACATTTGCGCAATTTCCCAAAGACATTGGGACCTGTGTATCTTTCTGGCCCAAAACTGTATTGCTGAATCCAGTTGCAACCTTGAGAATATAAAAGCTTTTCAGGGAGCTGAGGAAACAAAACAAAAAAAAAAACCAAAACAAAAAACTAATGAAGTAGAGATCATAACCATAACAAGAAGTAGAATATAAAGTTATATAAACTTGTCTACACACATTTTAATTTATTATATGGTTCTATCCTCTGGCTGTACAGTTCAAACAAAAATTTAAATGGGCTTCAGTACAACTCAAGTGTTAAGAAGGAAGCTCCATTTGACTGCCAAGTCCTTAAGAAACTTTTAAAACAAAGCCAGCCAAAAAAGAAGAAAATATGGTCTCAGCTAAGTATATAACCCATGCTCTGGAAAAGCTGGATACATCTAAACTCCACATGAGATTTTAGGATAACAGACACCCTCCAGTTTGCACATGCGTCCCCACAGGCAGCAGCCTGTGCTCCCCACCTCCTCGCTGCTGTCTCTAGCTGGAGCTCCTGGGCCCCAGGGCAGGATTCCTGC